AGGACCCTGCAGAAGCAGGACTGGAATGCAGACCCTAACTGGGAACTGGGGTCTTGGCCTCCCCTACTCCCCGCCTAAGGCCTGGCCATCCAGAGAGAGGGGACAGGCCCTTGTGTGTCAGGCGCCTGGCCCTGTGTCATCTGAGAGTAGCTGGAACTGAGGGCCACTTGGGCATCTTGGCTGCAGTCCCCCCACAGCCCTCCCCCCGAGACCACCCTCCGCGTCTCGCTTTCAGACCCAACCAGCGGCCAGTGTCGGGGAAAGTGAGGAAATGGGGCCCCGCAGGCGGAATCCAGTCCCCACCATCCCCCCCCACCACCAACTAGAACCTCAGAGACCCAGCTGCAGGTCCCCTCCCTGTGCCCTCCACCCCTCCCATGGAGGAGATGACAGGGCTGTGCCTGAAGGAGAGGTTAGAGTTGACAAATTGGGTCACAGCTTGCGTGGCCCCCGCCAGGCTCCGTGGACCATCTGTCCTCTCATCCCGGGAGTAATTATAGCGCTGGGGCTGCAGCGCCCCAAGGGTTCTCGTGCCCTCTGACAGGCCGGGTCCAGAGGTCACACAGCCCGCCAGAGCCGAGGTCCCCCGCGGGACTCCCTGCGACATATCACAGCGGCTGTGTCCCAGCCGTGCCAACCTTTGGTCACCTGAGTACTCCCTGATTTTGTCCTTATTCAACCTCTGTGGCAACTATTGTTTTTAAAATTCTTTCCAATTAATTAAAAAAAACAACAACTTAATATTTTGAAAAGTCCTTTCTGATCTCTGTGGCCACAGCGCCCCCTCCCCACGCCTCCCGCCTCCCGAGCCTGACCTGCTGTGAGGCACTGCTTGGTCCCCTGCTGTGCCCTTCCTGCCACCACCTGCTCCGCCCCGCTTTGTCCTCTAAGTCCTTGCAAGAACATCCCTCTCTCAGTGAATTAGAGCCCTGCACTCACTCGACACCCCTTCACCCTTTCCCTGGATTTATTTTTCTCCACTATGCACCGGAGGCAGGAGAAGCTATATTATCATTCGTCAGCTCCCGCAAAGCCGACCTCTTTGTCTTCCGCTTTCAGTGTCCCCAGAACCTGGAAAATGCTCGGCACACGGTACCTGTTTGTTGACTGACTAACTGACAGATGGACGGACTGAATCATCACGTGAGGTTTTACAGTGTCGCAGAGGTGGTGATAAAAACTGGTCCATCAAACACAGAACTGAGTTTTAAATTGTAGTTGGATGAGCTGCCAGGATCCTGTCCTGGCTCTGTTAAAAAAAAAAAAATAGAAAAAGGTTAGGGAGTGTTATAGGGTGTGAGCACCATCCCCTTCTCCCCAAGAATTCCCCTGCCACTTCTGATGGGCTGGGTGGACCTGAGCCAGTGACTTAACTTGCTTTGAGCTTCCTTGTTACCATCTGTAAAGGGGAAGTGACAGCAGGGCCCTTCTCAGATTGTCAAGGGAATGAAAGGGGACAATCCAGGTGGAGCCCTTGGCCCAGGCGAGCACAGAGCAGGGGCTGTAGGAGCGTATGCCGTGATGATGGTGATGATGATGGTGATGACGATGGTGATGGTGATGGTGGTGATGATGGCGATGATGGTGATGATGGTGATGGTGATGGTGACGGTGATGATGATGATGGTGATGATGGTGATGGTGATGATGACGGTGATGATGATGATGGTGATGATGGTGATGGTGATGATGACGGTGATGATGATGATGGTGATGATGGTGATGGTGATGATGACGGTGATGATGATGATGGTGATGATGGTGATGGTGATGATGACGGTGATGATGATGATGGTGATGATGGTGATGGTGATGATGACGGTGATGATGATGATGGTGATGATGGTGATGGTGATGATGACGGTGATGATGATGATGGTGATGATGGTGATGGTGATGATGACGGTGATGATGATGATGGTGATGATGGTGATGGTGATGATGACGGTGATGATGATGATGGTGATGATGGTGATGGTGATGATGACGGTGATGATGATGATGGTGATGATGGTGATGGTGATGATGACGGTGATGATGATGATGGTGATGATGGTGATGGTGATGATGACGGTGATGATGATGATGGTGATGATGGTGATGGTGATGATGACGGTGATGATGATGATGGTGATGATGGTGATGGTGATGATGACGGTGATGATGATGATGGTGATGATGGTGATGGTGATGATGACGGTGATGATGATGATGGTGATGATGGTGATGGTGATGATGACGGTGATGATGATGATGGTGATGATGGTGATGGTGATGATGACGGTGATGATGATGATGGTGATGATGGTGATGGTGATGATGACGGTGATGATGATGATGGTGATGATGGTGATGGTGATGATGACGGTGATGATGATGATGGTGATGATGGTGATGGTGATGATGACGGTGATGATGATGATGGTGATGATGGTGATGGTGATGATGACGGTGATGATGATGATGGTGATGATGGTGATGGTGATGATGACGGTGATGATGATGATGGTGATGATGGTGATGGTGATGATGACGGTGATGATGATGATGGTGATGATGGTGATGGGGATGATAATGGTGATGATGGTGATGACGATGGTGGTGACGACGATGGTGATGGTGATGGTGATGGTGGTGATGGGGGTGATGGTGGTGATGATGACGATGGTGACGATGACGGTGATGACTGCATTAAAGGCGAGTTTAAATGGCATATCGGGGAGACTAAAGTGGGGACTTTAGTTCAGAAAGTAACCAGTGACACGGGGGTACAGATAAAGTCAGAGAGAGCCACGGGGAAGGCGTTCCAGGTGTCAGCCACAGCACGTCCAAAGACCCTGAGGCAGGATGATGCCTGACGTGTGGGAGGAAGAGGGAGGAGGCCCCTATGGCTGGAGCAGAGCCGGTGAGGGGGAGAGAGGGAGGGCAGGAGGGGACGGGTCATACAGGGCATGTGGGCTGTGGGGAGGACTTTGAATTTTATTCTAGGGTCATGAAGTTCTCTCCTGCAGAAACAACAAGCCAGGCAGCCCTGCCGCACGAGGAGCGTGTATGTGGGGAGCTGAGCAATACCGGCCATTCCGTCCTGAGACAGAGCCGAGGAGGTCCCGACGCCTCCGGGGCAGGCTGCTGAGGCTCTGTCCTCCGTTCCTGGGTGAGGGGACAGTTTCCCCCTGACTATAGTGAGCAGCAAACAGGGAACTGGGAGTGACCTCAGACCTGAGGATAGGTTTAGGGTAGGAAGTTGCCAGAGGCGTGGAATGGGTGTCTGAACAGGGAACCATCTGTTCTGGTGCTGTCGTCTCTCCTGGGACACAGCCTCTCCTCGTGCTGTCCAGGGCAACAGCAGGGAGCAAATGACCCAGGAGGACAGTCTGGGAAGGCAGGCCTGCCTGGCGGGGTTCTGCTCCTTGCCCGGGCCAGAATTAAGGACTTTTGCAGTGGGGGGTGGGCACAAGCCACGGCTCTGGCTCCCTCCCTCGGCCTCCTCACCACCTTCCCCAGCTGGGGACGGGGACGAGGACCGATGACCTCCTGGAGACCAGGAGTCCCTCGATTTTCTCACAGCGTCACCACGTTCTCGACTCCGGCGGCTCCTTTCCCACCCATCTCCGACTCCGATCTCTGCCTCTGTCTCCTCACGGCCTTGTTCCCTCCGTGCGCGTCCAGACGTGCGTCCACGTTGTCCTTGCCGTAAGGACACCCGCCATTATCTCAGGGCCACCCGACTCCATGACCACATCCCGACTGATCGCATCCGTGTCCAAACAAGGCCCCGTTCCCAGAGACCCGGGTCACCACTTGTACGCGTTCTTTTGGGGGTGGGGGAGACACAGCTCCATCCGCTGCCGGGGCTCAGCTCACGTGTCATCCTTCCTGGTCTGGAGTCTCTTTGCCACCTACCCCGGTCACCCTGGTCACCCGTCCACACTGCTTCCCCTCACAGCCTCTCGCCGTGCGTCTTCTGGTCATGTCACCTGCGTGTCAGGCAAGTGCCGTGTCTCAGGCCCAGTTCTAGGCCCTGATGAAGACGAAGGCCCCGGGGCGTTTACAACCCAGTTGGGGGAACAGACAACGAACGGAGATTTATGACGCACTATGGTTTCATGCGATGGTTGGGCTCATGCAGACAGTGACGGGGGAGGACAGGATGGGTGGGGGACCGGAAGGCCTCGAGGGGCGAGGCACCACCTGTGCCCCCGGCGGGCAGTGTCTGTCCTGATCTCTGGTGTATTCAGATCCTGGTATAAAACTGGCACTCAATAATGGTGTTTTTTTTTGGAGGGGGAGGTAGACCAAAATTTTTACATTATATTCGTATGGTTCTTCTGCAGTTTGATAAATGTTTTCTTTTTTAATTTTTTAAACTGAGATAAAATTCACCCTTTTAAGGCACACAGTGCAATGATTTTAGTACATTTACAAGGTTATGCAACCATCACCACTATCGAATTCCAGAACATTCCATACCCCAAAAGAAGTCCTGTCCCCCTTAGCAGTCACCCCCGCCCCCTCCCCTGACAACCAGGAACCCACTTCCTGTCTGTGGACGTGCCTGTTCTGGACATTTCTCCTAAATGGCATCTCGCACCGGGTGGCCCTGAGCGTCCAGTTCGGCGTCACTCACCGAGCATCCTGTGTGCAAGGTCCGTCCACGCCTTGGCGAGTGTCAGCGCCTCCCCTCTTCACGGCCGAGTGCCCCACCCCGGTGGGCGGGCATCGTGTTCATCCTTCCTTGCTGTGGGTAGACACTGGGGTGGCTTCGACCTCTGGGCTGAGAGAAGGCTGCTGCTGTGAACGGGGGTGCACAGGCTTTTGTGAGGTCACGTGCGCTCCGTCCTCTAAGGTAGACACCCAGGAGTGGGACTGCGGTCCCTCGGTAGATAAAAGCCCTCCGGGGCACTACGAGGGCGGGACATCGGGACACAGGTGCTAATGCTGCCCCCGCCCCCAGGTGCCCACGAGGATGGTGGCGCGGCCCTAGGCCCAGGCTCTGCACCATGACCTGCTGGCTGTGCGTCCTGAGCCTGCAGCTCCTGCTCCTGCCCGCGGCCCCGCCCCCCGCGGGGGGCTGCCCCGCGCGCTGCGAGTGCACCGCGCAGACGCGCACGGTGGCCTGTCCCCGGCGCCGGCTGACCGCGGTGCCCGACGGCATCCCCACCGAGACGCGCCTGCTGGAGCTCAGCCGCAACCGCATCCGCTGCCTGAACCCCGGCGACCTGGCCGCCCTGCCGCTGCTGGAGGAGCTGGACCTGAGCGAGAACGTGATCGCGCACGTGGAGCCCGGCGCCTTCTCCGACCTGCCGCGCCTGCGCGTCCTGCGCCTGCGCGGCAACCTGCTCAAGCTCATCCCGCCCGGGGTCTTCACGCGCCTGGACAACCTCACGCTGCTGGACCTGAGCGAGAACAAGCTGGTCATCCTCCTGGACTACACCTTCCAGGACCTGCACAGCCTCCGCCGGCTGGAGGTGGGTGACAACGACCTGGTGTTCATCTCGCGTCGCGCCTTCGCCGGGCTGCTGGCGCTCGAGGAGCTGACCCTGGAGCGCTGCAACCTCACGGCGCTGTCGGGCGAGTCGCTGGGCCACCTGAGGGGCCTGGGCTCCCTGCGGCTGCGACACCTGGCCATCGCCGCCCTGGAGGACCAGAACTTCCGCCGGCTCTCAGGCCTGCTGCACCTGGAGATCGACAACTGGCCGCTGCTGGAGGAGGTGGCGGCGGGCAGCCTGCTGGGCCTCAACCTGACCTCGCTGTCCGTCACGCACACCAACATCACCGCCGTGCCGGCCGCCGCGCTGCGGCACCAGGCCCACCTCACCTGCCTCAACCTGTCGCACAACCCCATCAGCACGGTGCCGCGCGGGTCCTTCCGCGACCTGGTCCGCCTGCGCGAGCTGCACCTGGCCGGGGCGCTGCTGGCCGTGGTGGAGCCGCAGGCCTTCCTGGGGCTGCGACAGATCCGCCTGCTCAACCTGTCCAACAACCTGCTGTCCACACTGGAGGAGAGCACCTTCCACTCGGTCAACACGCTCGAGACGCTGCGCGTGGACGGGAACCCGCTGGCCTGCGACTGTCGCCTGCTGTGGATCGTGCAGCGCCGCAAGACCCTCAACTTCGACGGGCGGCTGCCGGCCTGCGCCACCCCGGCCGAGGTGCGCGGGGACGCGCTGCGCGACCTGCCGGATTCCGCGCTGTTCGAGTACTTCGTGTGTCGCCAGC